GGTTTAACATGAAGGAAGAGAAAGTGCTGTTTAAGGTGAAAGGACAACATCAGCAAAAGGTCACAACTCACTCATGAATAAATTTAGGTGAGAAACTAGAATAAGGCTCCTGGCTGTCAAAGCAATTAGGGGGAAAGGCAATGCAATAGGAATGGTTTTTCAGCTTAGGAGAGGGACAAGATGTTTCATGGGCCGCAGCAGAAGAGAGCAGGACCTGAGGTCCTGGTGGTCCTGCCTGTTTTGGTTGTAAAGCAGCATCTCGACAGCCCTGCAGACCAAGGGGTGTTGGGACAGACAGCTGATTCAACTGGAAAAAAAAACATGACAAGTCTGAGGTTTGGGTCTGAGACAGAGCAGTACAACCAAGGGAAACTGAAATCAGCAATCTCCACTAGTGCTCAGAAAGCAGCTGCCCAGCCACTGGGATGAGAGGGTGAAGCACAAGCAGGTGCTCTCTGCTGACAAACCAGCCCTGCCTGTCCTGCAGCCCACACGGAAATCCATAAAGAAAATCATTAAACAATTACAAGCTCCATCGAAAGGAGATCATCCTTTGAAGACATTTCCCCAGAAAGCTCCGTTTGCAGTTTTCACACAACCCCCTGCTCATCAGAATAATTGCCAGGAGTAAATGCTCTGTACATCAGCAAACACAGAGCAGAAGGAGAGTGAAGCAAAATGAGCCACAGTAACCCCACAAGTTCTGCCTCTGTGCAAAGTCACGGCCCTCAGATCAAGAGCCCCATGGAGATGCCACCAGCAGAGCATCTGCCCTCACCAGTCCCAGTGGCCTCCAGGGAAATGGGCTGTTCCTAGCAGAGAAAGAAAGGGCTTTTTTTCCTAAAATAATCCTTCTGTCCCAGCTCAGCGGTTTGCTAGAGGCAATGATCCACCTGAAAAAATCACCCAGCCAAAAAAAAAAAAAGTGAGTTCTAATACACTACACGATTTAACACACAATATTATCACTCCCTACAGACAGAAGCTTCTCCTGTTTTGAAGGTGCTTAAGCACCTGATTTCAGTTAGGCCTAAATACTGCTCAAAAATCTGGCCTTTCATGCAGAACCAAGATAATCTTTGAAGACACAGTAACTCAACCAGCTTTGCTAAATCAATCTCACTGTTATTTTATTCGACGTAAAAGAAGTTCCCAGGGATCCCATTTCCACCAGAACTTGTTAACAATTTATAACTATCACCTTGATCATTAAAAACAAACAATGGGAAAGAAAAAGAAGTCATTAAATTAATCCTTGAACTGGAATCCCAGAAGGGAAAATGAATTATTTTTCAAGACTGCAAGAATTAGGGGCCGGATCGTGTAAAAACACAGAGAGCAAATGCGTGGATACAGTGCCAGGCAGCACCTGAGGCTGCTGGGGGCCACAGGAGGGGCTGCTTTGCTTCAGATCTCTTGGATTTTGTTCTCTACAGAGCTCAGCAACCACATGGTGTTCCAGCAAGGCAACACTCAAGGCCTTTTCAGTTCCCAGAGTGATTCCTGACGGAGCACGGGCTGTGCTGGGGGTGCACTGGGGGCAGCTCAGCCTCAGCAAGGAGAGCCAAGCCCTGCAGAAACACCACGAGGACCTGGACCACAACCTGTCACCCCTGGGCTCCTGGGGAAAGCACATCAAGCCTTGGGAACTCTGACTGTGCTGCCTCAGTCAGAATTCCCATCCCTCCCACCCATCCGTGTTCCTGCAGCCCAGTGGGCTCCTCATCCTGGCTCGAACTCCTAAATTAAGATAGGAAGGCCTGGAGGAAACATTGGGAGCTTTTATTAGAGCAGATGATAGAGACAGAAACAAGGACATTTCTTGGATGCAGAGGCTGCTCCTGTCTCCCGAGAATCCAAGCCCACACACTCGTCAGGTTTGGGTTGGATTTTTTGGGGGGAGACTTTTTTCCCACTATTTGGGCTAAGAAAGGCATTAATTATCCTATACAAGCCATAGCTAACCACACTTACACCCCCCCACCCCACTAAAAACAAATGCCTATATTAAATGCAGAATAAACAGTGTGGATGCAGGAGGGCAAAGCATCTTTCCATGGGAAGGCCAGGCGATAGGATCCTGGCTTCAATCCCATCCCAAGGGAATGCCAATGTGCACTTCATGCCTTGCATGTCACAGAGTAATTGCAGGTGATAATGGGAATGGATGAACTGGAAGGAGAAAATATGTTCCCCAGTTACCTGCATTCATTGCACAGTCACACAATCACAGAGTGGCTCGGGTTGGAAGGGACCTCTGGAGATCATCCAGTCCAAACCCCCTGCTAAGGAAGGGTCAACCTGGAGCAGGTGACACAGAAACACATCCAGGTGGGTTTGGAATCCCAGAGTGTGCTGAGCTGGGAGAGACCCACAAGGACCATCCAGTCCAACCCTCAGCCCTGCACAGGATCATCCCCAAGAGTCACCCCTTGTGCCCCAGAGGATCATCCAAACCCTCCTGGAGCTCTGGCAGCCTTGGGGCTGGGCCCACTGCCCTGGGGAGCCTGTTCAGTGCCCAACCAGCCTCTGGGGGAAGAACCTTTTCCTGAGATCCAACCTGCCCCTGCCCTGACACAGCTCCAGCCATTCCCTGGGTGCTGTCCCTGGTCCCCCCAGAGCAGAGCTCAGTCCTGCCCATCCTCTGTCCCTGCCCAGGGAGCTGGAGCTGCAGTGAGGTCTCCAGAGAAGGAGACTCCACTCCCTCCCCAGGCAGCTGCTCCAATGCTCCGCCATCCTCAAGTGAAGTCCTTCCTCATGTTGAGGTCCACAGTGCTGGACCTAAGTCATGAAAAGCTTGGGAAATCCAGGATTTTTTCCCCACTTGGCTGAGGGAAGCATCCGTCCTCACCGGAGCAACCTCTCCCGGCAGAGCAGGCTGGTCCACCCGCAGAGGGCACTGCCACCCTGGCCACGGCACCACCGGTGACCTCCCCGCTATCAGTGCCCCATTACAGCCCTGGCAGGGGTTGACACGTCCCCACCCAACACAAACCACTGGGGCGTCACCTCCGCGGGGCCAGGACGGGAAGGGACCGTCCCAACACCGGGACAAACCGACTTCCTCCATGGAAAAGGGGCCGTCTCGGGGAACGGTGGTGGAAAAACCCGGGTGGGGGATTGGGAAGCGGGGGCCTTCCCTTTTTCAGGCTGTTAACTGTAATTAGCCTGGTTTCTCAGATGTAATTATCCCGCGAGCTCAAAGCAAACACCCTGGAGGAAACTGCATAGTTAAAGACAGCGTGGCATTAAAAATAAATTATGAGAGTCCTGCTCGCTCTAGCTGCCGATCTGTCAGCGTTTTCCCTCGAAAAGCCGCGGCTTGGGGGAGCTGGAATCACCCAGCTGTGACTTTTCCTGCCAAACTGTCTGCCTAGACACAGGCCGTAGCTCTTAGGATGCAAAATTCCAAACAACCCCCTCCCCGCTCCCGGCTCAGGAGACGTTCAGCTTTGTCTCAGCTCAATTACGGCATCGCGGCACTTTGGGGGTGGGGAGCCTGTTTTGTTTGGGTTTTTTTCCCAGAGGAATTAAATTCCGCCACTTAATCCAGCGCATGAACAAAGCATGTGAGGTGTTTCGAAACAAGGCAGCCGCGAACATATCACAATATTCCTTCCTCTGGCACAGGGAGCTCCCGAGCCTCCTCTCCACTGCCCTTTTTGTTGCTGCTTGAGCGGTTCCCGTAATGAGGGCTGTGCTTTATCCCAAATTTCTATCCCAGGAGGTGGAGGAAGCCAGGCAGTTCAAGAGTTGGAGTCAAGAGGGAGCTGGATCTGCCCAGAGACTCGTGGCTCGAGGCTACCACAGAAGACTCAAAGCTTTCTGTTGGCTGACTTCTGATTTTAGAGTGTCTTTTCTGTCCACTGCTGTAAGACAACACCAGCCCCAGACTCAGCCAGACACTTAAAGCCAACAGAGCTGTGCTGGATCAGCTCAGCAGAAGACCTCCCAGTGTCACCCCAAGGTGCCTTCCCTCACAGCACTCCTGTCCCATGGCAAGTCCCTTTACGGAGACAAAACCTCAGATCCCAAGAAGGTGTGGGTGACCTCGAGGGAGGGCGTGGTGAAATCAAAACAGGCTGTGTCACACAGGGAGGGACAGCCCAGGAAGGAAGCAGCACCTCAATGGCTTGAAAAGCTTTAAGAGACATTCACACAACTTCTGAACACCTGCAGAGAGCTGGGATGTGGAACCACCCCCAAACCTTCACTTTCATCACCAAACACCACTTCATTCATTCTGCTACAGCTGAGGTGGGTGAGACACTCCCAGGAACCTTGGGTAAGATTCTTTCCCTATGAGATGACCCATAAAAGATGAGCACCGTGCCTTTCATCAGAAAAACAGCTTCCCTCAGGAGTCCTGCAAATGGGCTTCTCCAGAGCAGCCCCTTGCCCTGTGTTGTGGGTAATTAGTGGCTGTTTCTGGAGAATGAGATACAACCTCCAGCAACACCAAGCCCCACTTAGTTAAAACCCTAATATTTCTTAGAGAATGAATCAATCCCACTGACTCTGCTCTCCACATATCTAGTCACTCACAGGATGCAGAGAACACGTCTGGAGAGCCCATTAAAAGCCACTCGACTGGAAAATAGTTTCTGGCCTAATTCTAGCACTGGGGTCTGGGTCGGGGAGAGAAATCTGACAGCAAGAGCATGTCTGCGGGGAGGAGGAGGCAGGGCTGTTAACTACTCCACCAATCTCATGTATGGCACTTTCCAGGAGTAATTAATAATTAATATTTGAAGCCTGCTCAAATCTGTTGACTCTGTAAATCACAGTTTCTCATTTAAAGGCCTCTCGACATGCTGAGGCAGAGTGGAGAACATCCCCCATGGAGGTACTGGGCACAAACAAGTGCAAAAGCAAGTCTCAGCTGCTCAGCCCTGGACTTTGTCCCTCTGCTTCTCCCACCCTCCTTGTCCTGTTGAATTCAGCATCATTCCTTACCTCTGAGCAGAGCTGGATGTGGATGAGGGGCCCTTGCGCTCTGGTCACTGCAATGCTGCTGCTGGTGCTCTAGTGGGAGCAGGAGGATCCTGGATTAGCACAGGACACCGAAGTCACCAAGTCCAACCTCCTTCAGAGAGTGCTCAGAGGTTCCCAGGCCATGGGCCATGTGTTCCGTGCCAGAGGATATGCAGGGCAGCACTGGAGGGTCCCCAGGACACAAATGCTGCCAAAAAACAATGCTCTTGTCTCCTTTCAAGCACTTGGGGTTGATAGTTAATTCAATTACTTACCCCAAGTGGAGTCTGCTTTGCCCAGGATGGTATCCGGTGAGCAATCTCCCTGACCTTATCTCAGCCCACAAGGCTTTCTGTTTTCCCTCCAGTTGAGGAGGAGAGTGATGGAGCAGCTTTGGTGGGCACCAATCCAGCCAAAGTCATCCCAGCACAGCCCATGATAGATCATCAGATTTATAGATAGATTTATCCAATTCAGGAGCTGGGCTTGTTGCACCAAAGATCAATTAGAGCTTTCTGAAGGCTGAAATGCATCATCAGGGCCCTGCAGTTTGCTGCCTTCACTCCAGCCAACCGTTCTTCCTGCGGAGCCACACAGCCCTCATTCCAAGCTGCAGGTATTATCCACAGTCTCCCTGTTTTCCACACCTCCCATCACTGTCACCATCTCAGTTGGAGTTTCAGCCACCAGAAGATGCCTGATGTCTGGCACTGTTGTCGTGGGATCCGTGGGCTCAGGGTTCTGTGAGTTAATAACAACACAGGGCTGAGGATCAACAGCATTCCCCAATCCAGCTGTGAGGCCTCCCAACCCACTTTGGTTTCCACACTGAAGGGTGGAATGGCACAGGACAGGTTTTCTGGAGGGGAACCACAACTCCCAGGGAACAAGATCTTCTCCTCTAAATGTCACAAACCAGAAGAACTCGAGGGTCTGGGCCAACAATTTGTGAATCTGGGCTGGTAGGATCACCCAAATCTCTGCAGCATCAGCTCCAGGGACAATCTGACTTCCCCAGAAATCACCTTTTTTTTTGACTTTACTCAAAATTCAAAGACAACCGTTAATAACTTTTAAGTATCACATTGTGGGGTAATTGGATACACACAGATTTGGGTCATTCATTATATATGTTTGTTATTCTGCTCCAAGTATTCCAAGTTTGGTGGAACACAGGAAATGCACTTTTCATTATAAAAAACATTATTCTATCCCCTTCATTACGAGTTATATTTTATCACAGCTACAGTTTAATGATGATGATAGTCTGCTAAGATACAACAAATTGTTTAACTCAGGAGGTCACATTTTATACCTTATTCCCCATGTAAATTTTAAATTCTGTTCAGTTACTTTCATCAGTATTCAACAAATACAATCCCATTGAAATTTGTTTTTCTTTCCAAAGGGTAATGGAAAAAGGCCTGCTTGTAGCATTCAGATGGGAGCACACCTAAAAATACCTAATATCAGGAAACAATTATACATCTTCACTTGAATTAATAATTTGCATTTAGAAAGGAGGAAAATATGCCCATAAATAATTTTTCCCCAGCTTCCTATAAAAAACAAGGACAGACAATGTGAAGCTGGAGTTAAAAAGTTCCGAGGATGTGACTGTCCTGCAAAGGTTAAGTTGGTTTTAAACACTGAGAAACCAAACCTCGTGAGAATGAACCACAGGAGAATGTGACAATTCTTGCACTGTGGTGCGAAAGACCAATATTTTTTTGGGAAAAAAAAAAAGCAAAACATCCTTGTTTCTTACTTTCCTCTGGTTTTGTGAATATTATGTTTATATTCCAAGCCATTAAGTCCTTTCTTCTGGAATCACGCAGTGAGATAGACACTTAACAGTTCTGGTTCCCCAAAATTTCAACAATTGAAGGAAAAGATAAAAATTAAGAAAGATTTTTCTTCTTTTTTCCTTTTAACCATAATGAGGAAAACAATCATTTAGGTTTGAATGAGACCTGTTACTGAACTTAAACAAAACACTCCATTTGGTCAGCAGCTCTGTAAAGAGTTTGATAACATTTCCAGAAAAATGTATGTGAGGTTTGAAATGTGAAGCTCAGCATTTTCCTTAGGAAAGGTGAACAGAGGGCAGGATTGTTCTGGGGACCACAACTTCCCTCCCACATCCCATAGTTAAACTATTTGCTTAATCTTTGCTGCACCCTTGAAATGTGGGAAATCTAAATGAACTTCCAAGCGTTTTAGGGTTGACAAAGGCTAGGAGGGAAGACACATGAAAAAAAGGCTCTTGTGGGAAAACATAGTCTACCCATCCCTCTTTTTTTGTTGTTGGTTTATCAAGGGGAACCCAGCGGGTCCAGAATCTCTGCTGGGGCTTCCAGATGCAAAGATGGGCATCTCTGTGCAGGGAAAGGGAGAGAGTCAGTGGATCCAGAATCCCTGCCACCTGCTATCACCAGGGCTGCACATGGCTGGATTAACAGCAGCTGCCAGCTGAATTCCAGCCTTTCCCCCTTCATCCACAGATCTCTACCACCAGAGGAAAAGCATCTCTTCAGGTCCAAGCATCAGGCTGGACTGCCAGGAACAGAGCTAAGAGACACCGAGCACAGAAGGAAGGTAGGGAAGGGGCTGTTTTGCTCTGATTTCCATGGATGTTGCCATAAGCAGCATCCCTGAGTCGCCCCTGCTGATCCTGACCCCCACCAGCACTCCCTCAAAACAAGTTTCTCTGTAATCTCCATTACCTCTTCTCCCCCTCAGGTTCAACCTTGCGGAGCACAAAAACAGCCCCCTGGAAGGAAGATGGAGCATGGGAGGTTGGAGAGCACGAGCCAGACAACAACCTCCATTCTGCTAATGACTGGAGTAATGATGGCATTCCTGTTAGGTACTGTGGAGACAACAAGGCAAACATGGTTTGTAATTGTTGTAAAAGGCACAGGAGGCAGTTTAGGGTAATAAATATTTGGAATGCAGAGAGCACACTGCTCACACACAGGGGAGCCCCTTGGGAGCTGCATCTCTCTGCCTGTGCTGAACAGAGTCCCTCCTGATTGCTCTGTCTGGAGCAACATCTCCTGTGGAGATGCCCAAGTTGAACAATTCCAAGTTCCCCTGGAGTGATGGGTCCTCTGCCTACAAGGATCCTGCTGCCTTTCCAGCCAAACCAAACAATAAAGCTCCCAGGGAAGGGAGGATGAAATTTGTACTCATAGAATTATTAAACTGGAAAGACCCCCAGGATCATCAATGTTCCTTCATGGGAAGGACAAGCCCAGAACTGCCAGTGTTGTGTTGGCAGTGGCCTTCTTGCCACTCAGTGCAGGTGCCACCTCTCAGTCTCTGGGATGCCTAAACTCTGATTTAATTTGCACAAAGGGAAATGCAGATCTCCTTCCCTACTCAGGCTCCCAGCATCCCACTGCCTCCACCCAAGTTTCCCCTCTCCCTCTGAGCCTTGTTAGGAGCTGTGCTGCCAACTTGAGTTAAATGCCTCAGAAATGGCATCCAGTCATTCAGGATCAGCACTCTGCCTGTATTTATTCCATAGACCTCTGCAATTTAAACCAGGAGAACAACCTGTATTTTCAAATCTGAGCAAGAATAGCTGGTAATAAACATATGTCAGTATGAGCCCATGGAAAGCTCAGCTGCCTTTTCCATGGTCCCTGGTTTATAAAAATTTTAAAATACTTATGCTGTTCTGTACCTCTCCATCTTGACCACTTGTTGTCTGGAATTTTATTAAAGCCAACAGGGAGAAAAATAACTTCTAAATGGACAATGCCTAAGAAAGAAAAGCACGAAAACTCCCACCATCTTTACCTTGTTTACCTTCCTGGAACTGACAGTGCAACTCCACAGGTAACCGTGGCGGTGTTTTCAGCATAGGAAAATTCAGATTTAATAACAGTAATAACTGTAAAAAAGACACTCACTAAATAACAAATGGACTCTTAATAGGTGTGGCTCTTCAAGACATGGATATCTTTTCATGTGTTAAAGAATACCTTCAAACAAAAGCTTTCCCCTGCCTGGCCATGCATCCAGGTCCCCCTGTTCAACAAGCCTGCTGTTGGACAGGGACATCTCCTCCTGGAGGAAGAAGGGCGGTTGCCCAGGTGGTTCTGGCTCAGTCTTTGCTCCTAATCACGTCAGCATTGGAGGGGATCATGGACAGCAGCAGGAGATGAGAGGCCAGGAAAGAGATCCAAGGGAGTAGAAGGAGGATGGAGAAAGACGAGGGGTCCAGAGGATGAGCAAAGGGGCTGAGGAAAGCCGAGCCAGAGAAGAGGGCGCCTGGGAGACTCTCACTGGAAAGCTCGAGGCTCCTGCCAAAGCAAACAGTTGGACATGGAGGGCTCTGCACGTCTCTGCTTCAGTTTGACCATCTGGCATTTAGTGAAATTGCCTCCCTTTGTGCTTCCTCCAATGAAGTGGTTTTGCATTCCTGCTTTCTCTCCCTCCTTTCTCCTCTCCCAGGCCAATATGTAGCTCCTCTCCCGCCTTTCATCTCACACATCCCTTAACGAGAGTTGCTGAGCCAAGAACACCAGCCTGGGGAACGAATCCCAGGAGGAGAGCAGGGACGGGGAGCAAAGGCCTGCACATGGGCAGCCCCCAGCTCTGCCTGCTCTGCTACCCTTCTTCTGACACACTGCCCTTCCCTGGGCTCTCAGCCTGGGAAAGTAACAGACTGAGGGCAAAGATGGAAAGAGAAACCAGAGCAGAAGTTAAATGGGAGAACAGAGAAGCAGAGAGAAAAAAGTCCTTAAAAAGGGTGCAATTGCAAAGTGATGACAGGCTGGTAGAAGGGAATTAGCAGAGAGGAGGGCTCCGTTCACCTCCTCCTCTCCCTGTGATTAGAAAGAAGCCAAAAGAGCCATTTTGTGGGGAACTTTGGCACCCACTGCTCTCCCGCTCCGAGGGCGAGAGACTGAAATAATCAACATTTCCCGTGGAACAGAAATGCAAACACTCAAACTCACATCTGAACTGACAGTTTCAGTCAAAATACATCACCCTGACGTTCTTCAATTAGAAAAGATTCACAGGCTCCTTTCACGGCCTAGCCTGCAGTCCCAGGCCACATTACACAGCCACACTGCCATAGTCTGTATTTCTTGTAAGCCAGTAAGGCTTGGGATGCATTTCCAAGCCCAGTGCACAGAGGAAATTTTGCAGTGGTTTTTCAGGAGGCCTGTTCCAGTGGGAGTTCAAAAAAGGAACACAAGTACGAGGGTAGGGAGAGATTTCCTCTGCCCTGTTCAGGCTCTGAAGCCTTCATCTTTCAGCACAAGACCTCACCCAGAAAATTCCCACCCCCATCACTCCATGCTCTCCCACAATGCTGGAGGTCCATGTGGACTCCAAGGACTGCAGGAAGGAGCTCAGCAGCTCTGCTGGCACAAATTAGCGGAGCTGAAACTTTAGAGCAGTGACAGAGAGTTTTCCTCCTGGGAGCAGTAAATTGCACGCCGGTCCCTAAAGACCCTCCTTGCCATTAAGTGATTAATGAATTCATTAACACCTCTGAGAACGCAGGAAATATGACACGGACAGGCTGCCCAGGCTTTGCAAAGGATGTTTTTAAGGAACAGCAGAGAATAGGGACTAATTAAGCTATA